GAATTCTCTTACCTTCTAATAGATCAAACTATATCCGCATGGTGGCTCGTAAAAAGTTTCCCCTCACCAGCACATCATAGAACCGCTGAAAGTCCTAATTCACTCATTGAAGTAGGTACTGCGATCGTTATGAAGGTGGTAAAGGTATTTTAAAGATATGGTTTTTTAATCGCTTGTGGTTAAAGGAACCGGAGGAAACTCCTATGGCAAGATCTCGATGTACAGATTACGACTAGTTAGAATGAGTAGAAGCGACGCATCTGTTTGGAAGATCTCAGAGAAACAAAGTCCGTTAGCATATCGATAGGCCAATGTCAAGCAACTAGTCGCCGATGTAACGAGGCTGCATACCTGGCTTGAGAAGGGACCTCCTATTGGATATATGCTAAGTGAGATTATCAGTCGTTAAATGACGAGCTTAAGATTTCCGAACCTATATACATACATATTATATATACACTAAAAGTAATTTTCTGCAAAAAATATTTTTGTAATCCAAGATCATTTAAAAATAATCCCATAAAACAAAGAAGTCGCTGCGCTGACTGCGACATTTCGCAAGTTAACAATTTTCTCAAAAATTGATATGACGAGATAGACAGTATATCATTTTCTTTAACTTACACCCACCTTATACTTGTAACCATAAGAATTGGTCTTCTTTTATGACAAGTTACTGAATTATTAATATGTCGTCATAATCGTGTTTGTGCATGTTGTACTATAGAGGTGATCCCGATGATAGCACACACCAGAAACCTCTTATTTATTTATTAAAATATGATTTGCCTTCCTGCCAGCGGGGGTTGTTCTCCAGTATCGCATGGGATACTGGATTTTTATTTTCATGATTCTTGTTATTATTTGTCAGTGGGTTGTCACTTTTGTTAAGTTATTTGATTTTGAGATGGGATTTAGCAAAAGGAGGTTCATACCGAGGAATAAGTATTTTTAAGCAACCCATAATCCTACCTTGTTAATTGTCGTTTCATCGAACGGTGAAAAAATCTCGAACGTGTCATATATTATCGCTTTGCGAGAATGTCTCATATTAACTTCGTGTGACATTTTTGCTATCTCGCATCCTACCCATGCTGCCATCGTATTAAGACTACACCCGTCGTTCTCGTCGGTCTTGTGTCACAATAGACTATTCTCCACATTTCCACTCGCATTTTCCTTCGATCTTCTTACTGCATCTTCCATGTGATCTTTCCCAAAGCACGTTACTTATGAGACGATCGTCAACACCGGCTACCATATATCTACCACCCATCTTAACCTGTTAGACGTTAGAGATTGTGTCTTATGAGATTTTCTTTTCCGAAAAGCTTCTCTAGTCGCTTGTGACGCTCTCTCAAGGGACACATATAACTTGAAGGACTTTGCATTTCCGCGCACGGGTATTATGTAAAAAACCTATAAAACGTCAAAAAAAAACCTATAAGATGTCATCTTGCAGGCTAGGTAGTTTTTAGGGTGCAAACAGTCATTTCATGTTTGCTCACTAGGATCGTCGTGAGCGTCCATGTATGGAGGAATAGCTCAACTAAGAGTTCATGCATACACGCTGTGTATAGTTTTCAGCCTTGAGAAGAAAGTTGGTTATTTCGTTGAATAGCAAGATCGCATCTGGATGATTGCATGCATAAAATCAGTCTTATTTGCTGTGTGAGAAAATCATTACTGAATATGCTGCCAATGAAGTATATCTATTAGCTGTGCTCGACGGGTTATTTATATGCTGTCTTTTCGGAAGACAGGTTATGTTCAAAGTTGTCAATTACGATTTTTTACGTTTTTTTGTGTTATCAAAAACTTCAAGGTGAATAACGGGAAATCACCTCCACGCCCGCGTTATGTGTAATTACTGTTAACATGTATTTGACTTGTAATTCGACAGTGTACAGTGAAATAATTATTTCTTCTCTCTCATTTTTGAAATTCAGCAAATTTGCATATGTAATTTCTAGAATGCGCACAAATCCTCACTATGCACACCTATGCATTACCGTTACCTCCAATAAAGCCATCTCTGAAGCAGATTTTACATCACATTAGAGCCAAACAAGGATAAGTGAAGTTTCATGATGTTTAGCAAACACATACGGCTACAAAACGAGTACACAACGTGTCCATCAGCTAGTGCCAAGTTAACATCTTCTTGAAACACCTACATAATGTCACAAAGGACCAATATAATGCCCAAAAAAAAATCTGCATAGTGTCACTTTTCAAGATACGTAATACCCATGCGAGCAACCTTGTTTGTTTCATGATTTGCTCCCATATGTGACTCCTGGCCGTATTGAGCTTTTATACATTTTGACTTGAGAAAAGCCCACCAATACTGGCATATCAACCTCCTGAACTACCTTGTTGTCAGTGGTTAGTATCGCATCTATATTTATTGTCACATTCTGGCTTATTCACCCTTATTTGAGACAAGTATTTTGTTATATTTTCCTTTATGTTTAAATATACATTTTTTGCAGCATTTTCAAAGTTCATATATACTAAGTGACATATAAATCCGAACACCCAGTTTAAATGGTTTTATTTTAATAAAATTTTGTATAAGTACTTATTGAAGCATAATAAGTAAATGATAAAAATTTCAAAATGATTGCACTGCTTTAAAGCCCTTTGACCTTTAATAATGCGTGGATGCAACCTGATGTGCTACGCATTCTCCAACGCGCCTAGGCATGCTTCTGATCAGGTGGTCAATGTCCTCCTGTGGTATCTCATTCCAGGCAACCACCAACTCCTCTTGAAGTGCTTCTAGAGTCTGAGGAGGACGTTGCAAATTGAGCAATCTCCTACCCATCATATCCCACACGTGCTCAATTGGGGATAAGTCGGGAGATCTTGGTGGCCATGGTAACAATGTGACATCATTATGTTGAAAGAAGTCTATTGTGACTCTTGCAACATGTGGTCGGGCATTATCTTGTTGGAAAGTTGGATCTGCCAGGGTGTCAAGATAGGGTAAAAGATGGGGTTCTAGAACTTCGTGGATATAACGCTGCGCGTTCATGTTACCTCTGATGAAGATTAAAGGTGACCTGGAAACATAAGCTATAGCACCCCAAACCATAACTCCAACAGTGTGATGAACATGTCTTTCAACAAAAAACTGTGGATTCCTCCTTTCACCACGTCGCCTTCTAACCCTGGCACGGCCATCGTGCATGCCTAAACAAAATCGAGACTCGTCACTAAAGACAATACTGTTCCATTCCTGATCCCAGAGTGACCGTTGTCTGCACCACTCAAGGCGATTACGTCGGTGTTCTCGAGTTAAAGGGAGGACCCAGTGTGGCCGGTATGAAAACAAGCCAAAACTTCTCATTCGTCGGTAAACACTTCGCATGCCAATAGGTCTTCCGTGTTCTGCAAACCATTCATTTGCAATGGACCTGGTAGTGGAGAAACGGTCCCTTAAGGCCAATAATCTTAGGCGGCGATCTTCATGGTCTGTTGTTCTACGGCGGCGTCCAGTGCCCCTTGCTCTTTGCGTACGGCCTTCTCGAAGCCATGCCTGACATCACCTAACCACAGTGTCTACACTTCTTTGCACTCTAACTGCAATTGCCCGAAAAGAAAGTCCGGCTTTCCGAAGTCCCACTATACGGCCCCTATCAAAGTCACTAAGTTGACGAAATCGTACAGGTCTCCGTACTCTAGGCATCGTAACCGATCGTAAAGGATGTCAAGAACCAAAATCCGCCAACGTTGATTCTTTACTGCGGCTGAAATATTCATTTTTAGAGCGTTAGTGAATTAAAAAAAAGCAGTATAAAAACCGGAATGTCCAACTGATAAGGCTGAAAATTTTTTCACTTGTTATTTACAGTAAGATAAATACATTCACCAACTTTTATTAAAATAAAACCATTTAAACTGGGTGTTCGGATTTATATGTCAATTAGGATAGATATCCTTCCAATGTTGACAATATTACTGCATCCTTTGCTCCCCGGGTGGTTATAATAGCATGTTCTAATACTAGGTCTTGAAAGGTAACAGCGGATCTCCCTATATCAGCCCCGACCTTAAGCATAAGGCAATGGACGTTTTGCCTCCTATCATAACGTAAAGGAGTTATTCACACAATACACCGTTAGGTTAGTACTATAAATAAGTTGACGCATCTGGTTGATCAAATTTCTGAAACATGTGTCACTCTTTTGAGGGTAGTAACAAGACAGCGGTCTCTAAGTATAGAGTTTCACAGAACGAGGTGCAGAATCCTAGTGTTAGCAACAGTAGCGGTCCTAGAATGTGGCAGCATTACGGAGAAGAGTTCCGAAAAGCAACGTTTCTTCTCATCGACCAGTCGGATAGCAACAGCGATGTGAATAGAACATATATGGACAATGTAATTGGAGCAGAAGCAGCAGCAACACCCCAGACTTATGAACAGTACTCCAAGCCAGGCTTTATTTGAGCCTTGTAGAGTCTTTGTGGAAGGCTCGCTTTAACATTCTGCGATGGAGAGGATGTTGGCAGCAATTGGAGAGGAACTTAGCCATCCATCTACAACCGACAGAAGTCTGCATAGGACAGCATCGGTTCACGGCTAATCTAAAGTATTTGTTATACTAGGAGCGATGACGTGACCCCATGCAAATACGTTTTCTCTACAATTGTGTGACGCAACTATTGTTCGATATAATTATCTTGAAGCTCCTTACCTATGCACCCCTTCATTACTTTGCTGATCACAGATAGCAGACCCGTAGGTATGTGGTTACTAGGAATCCTTTATTACGAAAGAAACATGAAGTGAAGGGAACAAGCTTCGGTACACATCTCGTTAATACACGTATCACGTCAGGACTAAAAGCTTTGTTGGCATCGAGCTCCAATTATGTTTTCCTCTCAGCCCTTTTCTCCAAGTTGACAACCTTTTCTAGGCTGCCAATTCAGTGATATCCGTTCAGAAATTTGGGATACCAAACTGTTTGGTATTGTTTTGGAATAAAAAGAAGCCATTCACAAAAGTACATTTTATTTCATCAAAAATATACAAATATAGTAGATAGTACGAAAAATGTTAGCACACCAGTTATTAACAAACAATAAGCTATTTGCATATACAGTGTGTATGAACAACAATTGCCTCTTTGCAGTGTAAACATAGAATTATAAAATATGAAGGCACATAAAAAATAAATACTTTTCCACAAATATCGAAGAAAGTCAACATGCTGTGAATATACTCATTATAATAGCTAGTCTGTTAAGTTCATTTTACACATAAAATTAACTTCGATTACACCTCTAACAATTATATGTTGCAAGAACATCGTCATGAGCAATTTCAGAGCAACATCACAATATATTATTATATAATATCATATGTCTGATAAGCAGTTTTGACAAAACATTTAACAGAACAATAAAATCTAGAAATATTTTTACCTTTTTTTGGTAAGAAACATTTGAACTCTGAGGACTCTCACATATTCTCTACCTAGAACCAAGTCCTATATTTTATTAACGTTCTGTACAGAATTCCTTAACGATATGTGTTATCATTGACCAGCAGTAACTAATAGTGCTTTAATAAGAAAATCGAATTCCGATAGAGTAGTGACGTTATCACAAACCACAAAAAGAAATACAGTGGATTGCCATATGTTGGAATCTTTAAGCCATACTTGACGCAACTCAAGTGAAAGCAGCACTAAATCTGAGACTTTGACAAATTATGCATTTAAATTAATTTCTATTTATTTATTCAAAGTTACCAGAATAGTTTGATAGTTAAAATTATATTTCGTTTTGTGTGGCCCAAGATATTATACTTCCTTTTTCAAAACATTAATAAGCATTAACAATCTATTCAGTAGTGGTGCAGACTGGCAATGCCAACCCTGCCATTTCCAGCAGTACTATTTGTTCTGTGTAAGACCTCTGCAAAATGTTTCTTTGCTCCATTTTTGTCCGTCCTCATTTTCGGTTCAGCGTAACTGTGCCTGTATCCGGCAGAGTTCTTTGTTACCTTCTGGTTCTTTGTGAATTTATTGTCACTCCGTTCTGACTCGACTCCAGACCTTGAATAACTATCAGGATAGCCACTAGAGTCGGGCATGTCTTGATAATGGCCTCGGGGATATGCACTGCGTGGATCTTCTTCAAACGTACACCTGGCAAAATTAATATAATTTAAAAATTGAGGTAATGAAACAGTTGGCTCAAAATCAAAAATATCAAACAGTAAAATAGGCAGCTATTCCAAAAATGTCCCTTTTCTCTCTCCCTGTATCTCTGTCGCTCTCTCACTTGACCAATCGGATATAGTCTAATCATATTAAATCACAAATCCTTTTTCTTACGTAATTGTATAGCAATTGTAAAAGTATCCAAAAAAATATGCGCATGAAATAGGTATTCCAATTTTTGTACGAAAAATTTTTATTCAGCAAAAGAAAATGGAAATACGTCTTTTTTGGGATCTAACAGAAATGCTCTTCACATATCATTATTAGATACGTACAGGGTTGAAAAAAAACAGAAATCATGTTTGTTTTTGTTTAAACTAATTTATTTTTGAAACATTCAAATTTAGCTGAGAAAAAATTTTTAAAACACTGTTAATACATGTTTAAATACATGTTCCTTGAAAGTGTTATTACTATTTTTATCTAGCTATATCAGAGCACATCTCTAATTCAAAAGCGGACGTCGGGAGACTACCGTGCGGACTTCGGGGAAGTACCGTTTGCGTTTGGGTAATTTTTCGCATTGGGATCTCCACCAGTCAAATGTGCGAAAACTGCGAAGCCGTGGCGTGGTGGTGTGTTTTGTTTTTTTTTGCATTAAAGATGGGCAAAAAAAGATAGGCAATGACAGCCAGGAGAAAGGATCCAGTGTGGAAATATTTTAAGGAGACTGATGCCAAAGCTGGCTCGAAAATAAATAAAAGAGCAAATTGTTTAACCTGCAATACGGATATAGTGCCACTGGAGGATAGAATGCGCAAGCATATTAAAAATTGTAAACAACTTAAACAATAAGTTTGTTAGAAAAACAAAATATTCATATATCAGATAGTTCTGATACCGACAATGATCATGCTTCTACCGAACCTATTTCCTCAAAGTTAAGTAGATTGGAGAATTTTTATAAAGGTACATTTTTTACTTGGAGTTCCACAAAAAGTAGTGAAAACTAAAAATTTATTCTATGCACATTTTCCATGATTTTATATTTTAAAAATATGGATTTAAGGATTTTTGGATTTTTTGTTGAATAAGATGGGTTGTATACTTTTATAGAAATTTGTTAAGCAACTTATTTAATGTTATTATACAGGTAAATACATAGTCAAATTATACGATTATTCTGCTGCTTGTAGTCTACTGCTATTAGAGTCCAATCCAGCTTATTAAGTTCACTCGTTCGTTAAGAAACAGATTTTTCCCCTAGTATTAGTTCCCTAGTTTCATGTTTGATTAATTAATAAGAAATAAAGTATATTTTTTAGTATCTACCTGTTTCAACCTATGGCCCTTTTAGTTTCGTTTTGCAAAATAAAATCAATTTTAATCATACTTAAAAAAATATAAAAACTTGAATAATTCACAACCGACAAAAAAAACAGTGCTTAAAAGATGTTTTAAGCAGTTTAAAACAAATTGCTTTAAAACACCTTCATTGTTTTAGACTGTGGTTAAAACACTTGTTTAAACATTTTGATCAAAACATTTTGATAACAACCCTAGATACGTAAGAGACCTACGAAATGAAAGTACACATAAGAAGATTGCACCAAAGGCAACAAAATTATGCGATACTGGAGTCACAGAATTACTTGAAATTTCTCCGCTATGTAGGTCTCTTACTTCTTAATAACGACGGCAAAGTTGGAATCGGTCGGTCAGTAGTTCTTGAAAATTCCCCGTTGCTTATTAGGTTATCAAGCAATATACAAGGTTCATTCAAGTATGATTTTTTTTTTAATGAAAAACAAATATTTACACTTTCTTGTAAACAAATTTAAGCATTTCGTATTAATGAGGAATTGGAGAAATGCTTTACGATAATAAAAAAATATACATTATACACATTTTTAAACAAAGCAGGTAACCATGACTTTCTCTAGCAAACAATTGTTTTCTTCAAACATATTTCATACCCTTGTTTACATATATCTACTTACAGCTGATTTCACTTAATTTTCACACGGTCAAGCGTGAGCCTCAAAGTTTATTAAAAAATAATCTCATACTGAAATCCATTGAATTCTTTGAAAAAATATCGCGCAAATTGAAGGCACAGTTATGGTTCAAACTATCTTAGAAAAGTTAGTCAATGACTGTCAAATATGTAAGTCACGTAATATATTCTCCTATCCAAAAATATAATTGTCTGTGCTTTTCTGTTAAAACTTCCAATTTAGTATGCGTTCGTATCCAGAACCTAGATCCATCAACATCACTGCGGTTTCAAGGTTTTGGAAAACAGACTTTAAAAAGGGGAAAAGAGCAGACAAGTATTGCGACTGAGGAACCATTGGTGCTTCTGAACTCTGATGGGACCCTCTATAGGTAAAGAGTGCATTTTGTGTCTTCCCGGTAGTTGGTGTTACTGGAATCATGGCCGCAAATATTATACGAAATATACGTGATGATGTGCCTAACAGGTGACTAATATCACCAGAATCACAAATAACTGATACCAAAGATGCAATATTTACATGCCCTATCTCCTTGAACCCCAAAATATCAACTTTTAACCTCTACAAATTTCTTTCTAAAAATGATGGTAAATAAAAAAAATGTAAGACGCCAAAAATTGGGGTATCAAGATTTTTTGTTTTTTCGTACTTGTTGCTAGCTACACTGCCACTATACCGATTTCCAAAATTACAAGCAGGGTCAAACATTAGCGTACGGCTAGATAGACTGACAGGCAGTATCTCATTTCCGAAATTTTACCAGTATCGTGTCGTTTTCGCCGATACCAATAATCGCCTATATTGATTTATTTAGGGCCGATAATATCGGTCTATCGGTTATTCATCTCTGTGGTTGAATGCATCGGCTGCAATGCGTGAAACATTTTCAAGACGCTAGTCGCTTTTGGACCGCCGCCTCTCACCATCTTTTTAAATGGCGTCGCATCTCTCCATTTTTCATGTTGGTGCTGTATTACTAAAGACCGTACATTAAGGTCGCTCGTCCTTCCTTTCAACAGTCTGTTTGAAGAAGTATTCATTTTAGGTATTTTTTAACAGTCATTAACTCATTAGCAAATAATAGTAGGCACAGCAGAGCTATTATGTAAAAAACCTAAGAAAACGTCAAAAAAAACTGACGAAATGTCATCTTGCAGACTAAGTAGTTTTTAGTGTGCAAATAACGTCTAAAAGTTTTGGCACAAAATATTCATCGGATTTTTTTAATGAAGAAATTTATTTAAACACTTACTAGCTATCATAAATTACAATTCAATACTTGACTTAACTATACTATCGAATTATGTGGAGTGGCCCTACCAGACGCAACTTTTTTTGAATGTCTCTCATGAGGTCCTGGACGGAATTCAGATCAGAAAAAATGGATGCGCGACTTTAGCGTCCGAATCACATCTTCAAATAGGCCCTGTTCTGCCCATCTAACGTCTCACTTTTAACCTCCTTATACTATGTCACTAACATATTCATTGTGTTTGGAGAATTAAGTCTTCTGCAGGCCCTCAAAACTATTTCCCTGGCTATGGTTACTTACCCTTCCATATATGACCTCCTCTTCAACTCCTTAGCGATCTCGCTGGAGTTCTTCCTCCTCTCTTCCTCGATTAGAGAGTACATGGACCTTCTCTTCGGATCCAGCTTGTCAGTATGACGGTATCTCTCGACAGGTGCCTCCCGCTCACGGGAGTTTCTCTCCCGGTATCTCACAGGAGGCAGTTCCTCAGCCTCCACGCGCTGTCTGGGTGCCGGTTTCGGACGAAGCTGGACTTCTTCTTGGTGTTCTCGGTCTCGGCGGCTATCGTAGTATCTGGTATAGCATAATGGGGTAGTTACTCAGAAATATAATGAAAATGAGAAGGCGGTTTACGATATTATCAGAATAATATGACGAAAACCATTTTAAGAGTGGCGAGCATCAACCGGGATAATTCAAAACTAAACTAATATGTTGCTCAAAATGCATAAAATTGGCGGCATCTGAAGTTATACGGAGAGAACCAAATTTGTCTGACGGCTTGAGTTCAACGTGTACGAGAGAGAAGCGCGAGAAGCATGTATCCACACTTATGTTAGAAAGAGATAGAAGCCGGCTGGATAGCAAAGCGATCACCACGTTGTCTAGCAACGCTGACGCGGCAGTTTGCCGCGTTGCCAATATGTTACAGCAGTTCCTTGAGTTAATATGCATGTTGAAAGTGTGTGTTAGTTTATTCTCTATGTCCAAATAATGGTTTAATTTTGAGCGTTCACATTTTTGGTTTGTGAATTGCGTCGATTCCTTATCGGTCATAATAGTGGTACCCTCGTTTCCATTTAGTGCACATTCCGACATCACTGTTACATGAATTTCACTGTATTTTCAGCAACATAGTAATTTATATGAGATAACACAAAGCGCCATCCTTATCACCAGAATCGATCGCGCACCGCCGCTGTTAGTTGGAACTGTTAAGGATCACAGTTTGCGTTTAATAGTAATTTAGTTTTGAAATATCATGGTTGTTGCTCGTCAAACTATCTAAGTGTTGTAAAAGATACCAAAAGCCACCCAAAGGGTGGTGGCAGATGAAATTTTATATTTGAATGTGAGCAAATTTGAGGCATTCCAAGAACATCCAAGGTAATCTGAGAAGATTGGAAGAAACTCGATCTCATCCGAAGGTATTCAAGGAGATTTTCTTTTCTATTGGGAGGAAATGCGTTGTAAATGTAAGGTTTTCTATCTCAATGGAAGGCGACTCGAGCTGATTTGAGACAATCCAAGAAAATTCAAGGCAATTCAAGGAGATCTGTGAAATTCCAGTGAAGTCCGATGCATTCTTTGTATTTACGCATACCATAAGCGGCACTATAGCCGAAGGAACACAAAAAAATCCATAGGAAATCTGATGATAATATTAAGATACAAGAATGCCCAGATTTAAATAAATCTGAGAAGTCATTTGTTTCGATAAAGAACCAGTTGGAAAATTTCTCTAACAGGTATATAATACTCGTAATAATAATAATAATAATAAATGGCCTTTATTCCTCACATGATTAGAAAATAATTGACTTAATAGTGATGAAAAGGTGGAGTGTCAGCTTATGCTGTTTTTCAACCCGACCTAAAAAGCATTGACACAAACTATAAAGAGAAAAAAAGTACCTACATTTAAATTACACAGTTCACAACATTGACCACCAAAAAGAGAAAAGTTTAAAATATTACACTTCTCAGAAAAAGGAAACAATATTTTACCTGTATATGGTATATGTAAATGGCTTTATATTTGTATATAGAATAGCATAAACTATACCACCGGAACCAGACTAATCTTTTGCCATACTTCTCAACACCAAAAACAAGAGAAAACATCATGTCAGAAAGAGGAGAGAGGAGGTTATCCATCCTACACACAAACAATATTATTGGCTTTTTGGAAGATCCTCATATCAACATCATCATGAGAAAATTGTGATTTACAACCACTTCTTGAAGCATGTATGGTTCCATGTTCCAACTCTGAAATTAATTAAGGTACCAAAACTTAACTCTGGAAACCATGGTCAGTGCCTTCATATTTTCGGTAACATAGGAATATTCATCGCGATTTGAATCGAAAAAATCATGAATTGGCAGTCAGACAACTGCTGGGTAATCGTAACGCAATAGAGTAGTGCTGGAATTATAAAGGGTTTTTCGTTAAGGACTTGACAAATATCTTTTTAAATAAAACGCAAACCAGTGAGATATCTCGAAAATTTTATTATCGGATTGAAGTATACTCGAAACATTTATGAATGGAATTCAACCTCGTTCATACGTTGAACCCAACTTTCAATGACTCGGCCACGCATTTTGATAGAAACGGCCGCTATCTTTCGTTCAATTTTGGCTCTGAGCTTCTCTAACGACGCCTGCTTGTTGGCATAGACCAATGATATGATGTAGCCCCACAAAAAAAGTCTAGAGGTGTTTAATCGCACGATCTAGGCGGCCATTCGACAGGATCATTTCTCGATATAATACATTCACAGAATTTTGATTTCAATATGTAGATTGTTTCACCCGGTGTGTGGCTTGTGGCACCGTCTTGTTGAAACCACATACTATTAATGTTTAGCCCATCCAGCTGACCAAAAAAATAACGTTGCAACATGTCTCTGTAGCGATCTCCGTTGACTGTAACATGACGGTCATTTTCATCAACGAAGAAAAGGGTCCAATGACAATACCGGCATGAAAACCACGCCATAATTATTTTTTGAGGATGAAGTGCTGTTTTTTTGAAGCATATGAGGGTTTTCAACTGACCAATAACGCATATTATATTTGTTAACGAAGCCGTTAAGCCGAAAATGCGCCTCATCACTGAAGATGATTTTGCGATGAAATTGGTCATTTTCTTGCAACATTTCTAGAGCCCAATTCGAAAACGTGCGTCGGTTCATATGATCAAACGGCTTTAGCTTTCGAGCTAACTAGATCTCATAAGGATGCAGGCCAAAATTTCTTCGCAAAATTCGCCGTAGTGTGGTCTGAGCGATGTCCAATTCATCAGAACGCCGTGAAATCGACGTGTTCGGTTCGTCTGCGACGGATGCTTGAACGTCAGCAGTATTCTCGGCACTTCGATCAACCCGTTGTCTCACTGACACGGGAGCATCCAGCAACGGATATGTGGACTCAATTTTTTTTACTAGACTGTGAATTGCTTGTCTACTGGGACGAGAATTACGACCAAACATTGGCGTGAACGCTCTTAAAGTTGCAATCACCGACTCTGAATTTTGGTAGTATATTTTAATTATTTGTAAACGTTCTTCGTTCGTGTACTTCACCATGATGAAAATGTTTTCTTTACTGAATGTTTTGACATTGACAGTTCGGTAATTGACTATACTATATATACTAACCGATCGTCATAGCTAGTCCTAGAATGATTATCGTATCTTCTAACAGGCGATATGGGTGACTCTGGCCTCTTAAGGTTCCTTTCCTTCTCCAGCCTCTCCCTTTCCATCAACAGAAACTTTTCCTTCGCATCCTTGAATCTGTCCCGAGGGGCTTTTACTTCATCCAAATGAGAATCAGGAGATCGTTGCCTATATCGCCCGTTCCTCATGCCCATTGAGTTACTGTCGAACAGTTCCTGGGGACGCTTAGACCGCTCTTCCCTAATTTCACTCCTGAAAATAAGGCACTTGTTATGATTTTCGTCATTTTCTAGAACATTTTATTTCCACAAATATGTACATTTTATTTCTCGCAATCGGGCGCGTAAGATCAACGTTTACCGAAGACCGAACAAAAATGACAATATTGCCGCTCTAGAGCAATGGAAGGACAGACACGCTCGATAAAGATTAACCTTCTGCTCCAAGAGTACGCTCTGCCACATCAAACAAAAGAAGACTAAACTAAGGGCCGTTATCAGTAGTGCGTGCAATTGTAGGACGCCTGTATGGCCTCCTTGAATTTCATAGTGTTTTCTCTTCTTCAGAAAGGGTGGGTTATTTCTATATTTCTAGTGTCAGCGTCTGCGCTCTCCTGTTGTGGACGTTATGTTTTCTTTTCGAACCTTAAGAAATATCAGGGTAATAAGACAGATGATAAAAAACAATTTTTATCAGCCTGGAATTTCTTAAAATCTACAAGTTCTGAACGACAGGAAAAACTATGAAAATCAAGGAGGCGATACAGACGTCCTACAATTGTAGGAACGACTGACGATTCGGCTCTAAAACTAGCTATATACCTTTATTTGGAGATATGGAGTGAGGGGTAATCTTGGTACTAAATATGTGAAGTAATCAAAATGCTGCCAATAATAGGCTAAATTTTGTCCTTGAATCTTTTTCCCATTTCCAAGGTCTCGCTAATAGTTATGAGCGCTTTCAGAAATCTACACTAATGGTACTATAACTAAATAACAATACTCTTTGATGATACATGATATTAATGAATAAACAAAAAAAAATTGAGATAGCTGCAAATATTAGGAAGCCAGCATCCCCAATATTTTAAACCTTTATTATATGTATTTAAGTAACGTTAAATAATAGTACCTAGTACACTTAGAATAATCACACTTATTTTATTTATACATGTAACAAGTGCTACTCTCATGTTTACATTTTCTGCCATTTTGGCAGGATAGAAGCATTGCATTGTTGGTCCGGTTGCAAGCAATTAACCTACTTTTTCGCTCTAAAGCGGTCAAGTTGTCACTTGATATTAATCACTGGATGTTTACTTTGCACGATAAACTACGAGCAAAAATAGTACGTACTTTTGGGTCGGTTGTCGGTTTGAGTCAACACTTACCTGTCATAGTCGTTGCTAACGGACCTGGGTTTCACTGGTTCCTGATCATCATAATACCTAGCATCACTACTTTTAGGCCTGCCTGACTTGACCTGACTATCATAGCCACCTTGATCATTATAGTGATCTGAAGGGTACTTCTGCCTGATCTTAGGTACAGGTCTAGACGTCTCCTCGCCTCGGTACTCGCCAAAATATTCGGCGTCATCATACGGGTATCTCTGCGATGGAGACTTTTTCTCGTAATCTACTGGTTTGTTCCGGTACCTGAAATAATGAGGAGTTTGGAGTCATTACATTCTAAATGAACATAGTACTTCATATACCATATTTGAGAAGTGGGCCATCAGGCGAGCACTTTTTTAACCTGAGGCACTATCTTAATAGTGTGCAACTAAAACGGGTTCAAAAAGCTCAGAATTCTTGTCTGAGACTGATATTTGGCATAAGGGATAGACAAAGAGTATCCCACAAACTACCTGAACTGGGATGGTTGAATATGGCTCAGAGGCGTACCTTGCACTCTACTTCCTTTTTTTACAAGATTATAAAATATACTTAAAAATTAGTTACCGGAATGATGTACATAATCTAAACATTAGAAGATTGAATTTGATTACAATAGCATCACATAATAAAGAATCATTTAAGAAATCATTCTCATATCAAATTGCCTTTTTGGTAAATGAACTCAAAATTAAAGATTTTTCTCTCTCGGTAGATTCATTTAAGAGGAACCTTAAAAGTGATTTACTGTCTCAGATATCATAGAAAACACATCTCCTGCTCCCCCTTCTCTCTTCTTCTCTTTCCCCTCGCTTTCTCTTCTCACTCTAAATTTCCATGTCTCTACTTACTTATCAATGTCTTAATAGTCATTTGGCTTACTATAGAATTGCTTAAATTTGTTTGTTTTTTTTTTTGGAAAGCTGGAAGGCATTGCGTTTTCAACTCATTTTGCAAATACTTATATCTAGTTAGGTGTCAAACTGAAAAACTGCAATCAGTGCAACAGATCATTTGGACAGACCCATTCAAGAGAAGTACAGTAGTTCTTGTTGTTAACACAAAAAGTCTTTTTCAAACACTATGTCGATTATTGGGTTATGCAAGAAAGAGAACTAGTGAGAAGTTTAAAATTAGTGATTTCTCAATCGATCTAAGATGTTTCGAAATAAAAGGTTCAGTTGAAAAACTGACACAATGCGGTTGGCAGGATACAAGTTTGAATGACACAATTATCTACTAATCTGTGCTATAAGCATTTTTTTGGTTTTTGGCTGATCACAATGAAACTACATAAATAACTTTCATATATCTATCCTCCTCACACATACATATGCAAACGGCCTGTATGCAGGGGCGTGCCCAGCTCAAAGGGGCACCTTCAAAAAATTTTTGGTGAAAGGTTCCACAAATCATATCTACATAATTATGCTTGACATTCTTCTCTCTGTCTGCGTTTCATTCATATAGAGTCTTCTTCGACGATTTGACAATTTATACGAGTATGAATATCGAAAGCTACTACGATTACTTTTTGAAACATTCAAGCAAGTCAAATATGGTCCCTGTTGTAAAATGAATTCTGCAGAAGGATTTATATATTTTTTCGTGTGAATGAGAAATAAAAAATTCTGGGTAACCATTTTATCAAAGTTATGTCGATAGAAGAACTGGAAAGGGGATGAAAACACCTTCAAAATGGGTAGATATGTCCAGTTCGTTGCAACAGTTGATTGGTTATGAGAAGTGCATCAGTGTAAATATGAAATAGTAGTCAAAAGTGACAGCTTTTGTAGTGACTAACATCAAAAAAATCTACAAAAATCCTCAAGCCATCCAGCGACGTAATTGTTAAAAAAAAATTAGACATTAGACAGGGAGGGTTTTTGGTATCTAATTGGACAATATCTCGATTACTATAAAACATAATTAAAAATGTTATTAAGAAAAATTGTGAACTATACGCTTCCTACTTGGAATATACCTCTCCTTACAGGGTGATTCATACTGGCATGACAACAAAATATAGTATATTCTAATATGATACTTCAAATAGAGAAGTTTTGTTACAGCCAAGGATATAGCACTATAAAGTGATTTCGAATGTAACTTGTCTTTGTCGATATTCATTCGTTGTTTTTCTACAATTACTTAAAATTTCGTCATATAACCAAAAATACTTTTATAGAATATGTAGAACGATATGTACCTAGTTTATTCTAGCATGATTTGAAAAAAAAATTGTTATATCTTCACTATTGCGTATTTATATATTTTAGAAACTGTGTTTGAAAAGATTTGACACTTCCAGGTTCTCCTGAAGTACATGGGAAAACAAATTTTTTTCCCAAAATCGTTTCTAATGTTTTCCGAATTTATATGAGACAGTATTTCAAAATAAACTGCACATTGACATTGCCACTTTTTGATCTATTCAAGGTGGCATAAATAGAACATGAATATGATTATTCGTCTCTTATCCCCCGTCTCAACTTTGATATTTATTATGTATGCCATTTTTGCATAGGCGAATAGCTTTTAATTCTGATTTATTATGGCATGTTATACACTATTATAATTATTATTCTTCAGCAAGCCTTAGAATTACCATATAGTCATTTATTTAATAGAATATCACAGATGATAACATATTAGACATTGATATAAAACTTCAAGTGCCTAACGAATGACGAATAACATTATTTATATTATTTAAGGGTAATCATGAAGACATCAAATGCAGTATAATTTAAAAAACTGAGAACTGAAATGTCAGATGGAAATTCTAATTATGCCAGCGTGCAGAGGACAAAAAGTAGTATTGTGTAATTTGTTTCAAATTTGTAGACAATGTGGATACCTGAGAAGTTTTGTTTCGGATTAAAGCCAGGAAAAATTCAACAATTTAGAGTGAATTCGGAAATACTTTGAATTTCTAAAATGTCCAAGTTCCATTTTTTATTTACCTACGCAAGTTGCCCCCATAAAGTATTCTCGTATTTATCATGAGATGTGATATTTATTGACCGAGCAGCCTGGACGTCATTAATTATTGATTCATAATGTTAGGCATATAATGTATACACTGATGGTACGAACCACAGTAAATACTGATCGTGTGACATGCGCTTTGCCATTTCCGAGATCCCAAAGACGTGGTTCGATTTCGAAACGAACGTAACATGTATAGTGCTTTAGTAATAACCAAATTTTTGTTTCCATTCAATGTTTGCGAAGCCCCCTCTTCCTCATGGAGAGACAAGTTCCTTAAGGACGACACTGGAAATCGTTATTTCTTAGATAACGTCTGAAAGACACTTAATTTAACCAAATGTTGACATCACTTGATTTTTCACACAGAAAACAATTAATTCATTCAAACATGCAAGGACAATCTAACCCTGTATTTTGCATCATTGAAACAATTTTATAGTTACAGTGAGCAATTTTAAATAAGAGAATATTATGCCAGATAGTAAACAAATTTCGAAAAAATGAACTCGGGACTCACTTGATATTTTCGTCAAATCCGTCATCCTCATAGTACTTCCCATTTTTATCTCGGTCATTCCTAGATATATATTTCTTCTCATTATACCTATCTAACACATCTTCTTCACAATAATCATCAAACTTGTCTTCCCTGTCGAACTGGTTGCAACCGCTCTGGTAGTAGTATTTGTCCGGAAGGCTGTCGAAGTATTTTTCTTTGTCCAAACTTTTCGACACCCTGCTCTTTAGCTCCAGTTCTCCAAAACTCTTTTGCCTTTGGAAAACCTGTTGATTAGACCCGTACTTGTAAATACTTATTTAACCGTTTGAAAAATAATATGGAAATTGTGTATATGATATCCAAATGTCGTAACAAGTGACAACAGAGCCGTCTGTGTGTATAGTGGAAAATATAAACTGAAATTTGTGTAGCTATCTATGTGAATTCAAGTTATACTTTGACTTATAGATCTTAACATGTTGGTGAGTGAGTTTGCAGCAGCGGTGGCCGCAGTAGTAGACTCTTCGGTCTCCTGATCAGTCGCCGTGCGCTGTGCGGGTTCGAGTCCCGTCCCAGGAGAAATTTTTCTCTTAGCTATGGATGTTGTGATTGTCCGTAGGTGGTGGACGGTCTCTGACTGTCGAATGCGGAGGTACCACCCGGCAGACCTCGTAGGCGGAGCCAGAATGTAGGCATGTTGCATGCACACGTGTTCCATCGCCAGAGTCCGTGTGGCGTTCCCCCTTTTCCCATGTATCCCCCTATAGCCCCACGGTACCCAATCGGTGCTTAAGCCTTAAGCCTTCAAGGTAGTTGGAGTATAAAAAAAAGGAATCATAGGCACCCACAGGCTAGCCAGAGGGTACCGTGGCTCCCCCCTTCAATCCAGCTGAACCTTAAAATTTCCATCCATATCCATATATTCAATTTTGGGTATCTTTAGGATTTGCCCCATCTGAGAATATTTACAACGACCCGCTCTTCAAAAAGTTTTTGGAGAAGTTACGCTTTCACAAGAAGTTATCTCTCGCCGATGAGTAAAATTCCCGCGGCCGCCCATGTCTAGATCACTACATGACTACAATATAATATATCAACAAGGCAGCTTTGGATGCATGATACAAAAGCAATGTTTACATAAAAGGTTCGGTGTAGTTTTCCGATAAACTATATAAAAAAAGCTGCACGATGTCATAAGTTCCAGATCATTACAAAAGGGTACCCGGAAACGTCTTGCCGCCTACCTTCTTGTTTTCAAAGCTTTTTTGCCTTTCGATGAATTTGTTATTTGTATATTTAGTCACAGGTTGTTCTAGGTATTTATGAGTTTCTTCTCTTAACGACGTTTTGCTCTGCCTGTAGTCATCTTCTTCGTATGGTAGAGTTTTTGTTTCTGGATACCTGCAAATAATTCAACATGAACTTGTAACTTTTCTTTGCATTGGAATAAAGTAAATAAGGTATCTTCTTTTGAATTTAAAAACTGTCAACAAAAACCTTGTCAAATTTATCAAGCGAATCCAAGCTGACTGAACATATCCGGTGTTTCAAATTTGACTCTGAGATACAAAGTCAGTTAATAGGGGCAAAATAACGCATTTAGGTAACTAATAAACTGCCAGATGGACAGTTTCGCAATTCCAAGTATTTTCGAAGACTGAAGAAACTTAATTTTCTCAAAATCTCTTTTATTTTTTACTCAGTTTATTTGTGATAGGATTTCAAAATGATGGAGACACTAAATTTTCCCCTCTACAAGATGATTTAATTAGAATTTCAATATGACGTTCCCTCTCTTGCCCTCACTCATTAACTTTTTTTTATAGACATCATAAAGGGATTTTCGCACAGGTAAATAGTTCTTAATACCGATTTCGAAAATGTATAATGTGTCGTATACTGACATTGTCAAACTGGTTCTTTGAAAAAACGAATCTTTTCATAATTGGCCTTGAAAATGACAGCTTACACAATTAAGAGACCAGCTTGAAGCCTGTTTTATTTGAACATTTGCTGACTATAAAAAGCGTTATCTTAGCACGAATGAGACGCTCTACATGACACCTCAGCCGCAGATTAGTAGTATTTGAATGCAAGATGAGTGCATTGGTTGATATATGGCGGACATGAAATGTGTTCAGAAAGCTGCAATATCCTTTATGCTTATATTTCCACTACAAAGTTCAGTTACATAAAATAACTCTGTTTCCAATATTTGCAGTGCTAGCCTTAAATATTATCAAAAAGTTTTAGCATTATTTTGCTCTTCATTGGATGAGCTAAAATCAATTTTAGGTATATTACTTGTTTAGAAGCTGAAGTTCAATAATATCAATCCGTGCCACTATATGTATAATATACAATATAAAAGTTACAGAAATGCTTGGCTGATGATAATTTCACGGCCTACTTAAGAGTTTTTTTTAATAACTATGTTTGGCAATTCCAATTCATGGCATATTATAGATTTGTCGAATTTACAATTAAAAACTCCTTTTACCTGGGTCAAAATCCAATGTGGCGTTTAAAAAAAAATAAAGTTGATGACTGAAGACAAGAGACGAATTGACTTATCGAAATTCTGCTTACACCGTCTTGTAGAAAAGAAAATGCAATGCTAATGTACCTTTTATTTTGATATTTCGTTCCAAATAAAGCCTGGAAAGAATAAACACGATTTTGGAAACATCTGGTTTCTTCTGTCCAGCTCCAGAAATACCCGCAGTTGACTATCTTTCTAAGTGTCATTTTCTTAGTTACCTAGATGCGTACCTTTGCCTCCATTCAATACTCGTACATCATAGGGTTTACCGTTTTCAAGATCCCGGCGACACGAATTTAAAGCACTCGGTATAATCATTGTACCATTGGAAAATCTCGCAGTTTTAACAACGACTCAGTGACGGCTGAGCTAGAGCCAAAAAAACAAAAAAATTAAAATTGCTCATGCTTCGTATTTTATCGTTCCAGAGTCCTGACGATTTTTGGAAAAAAATTATAGGAATTAAAAATGGGAGGGTACATTTCATGTTTATGGCGTAAGTATACTTATATTCTTCCAACAGAGGTAATTTTATGTGCTTGTTACACATATTTCATATAGCATAGATTTTTCTTCGTACATTTGCTCTTAAAACTTAGAAGAAATATTTTCAATACATGCGTTTTTGATCTCTGGCTATACCTAGGTCACGGTCTCACAAATGAGTGTGTGTATTTCAAAGTCGATAAGATGGTGGTAGCTGCCGGGATGCCACGGTTGGCAAGTAACGAGTGGTGGGGTTTGAGGGAGACTTCTCCTAGCAACGTTGTCAGATGATCAGTACTGTTGGTAGGGTAGAGAAAAATGTCTATGGACCGTATAGGACGTCTCACTGACTCGATCCCTTTGCATTTTTTTATCACTTTTAGCTTTTGCGCTGGATATAACCCTTTTTGAACTGAAGACAGCGTTGCGTGGGATGTCAATCTACTAGACACCGTTTTTTATTACTTTCTCGTTAGTAAAATGTTTCATTAACCACTTGAATATAACGTACCTGTTGAATCGTTGTACTTCTGGTGATTTTTCTCTTCCTCCTTCTCTGTTTGCACCTCCTGAAGGCCTGGGCAGTGTCATCTGGTGAGTCTGATGCATCAGGTATACCGTCGATTCGGCTGGATCTCCATTCCAGTCTTCATCTGGAAAAAATGCTCATACTAATAAAAAACCATCGCACTATACCGGAATTGTAAACGTAATAATAACAAGTTTCAATTTTATTAATCAACATTGGCACTTGGTATAGGCAACTCCGAAAAGTTGACCTTTCAGGAATTACATGTGTACCATTATTTTTCATATTATCTCTTCTACTCACATCCCTTAAAAAGCAATGTGTGTAATTATTCTTCGAAGTGTTACTTCCTATGCTCTATAACTGACCCAGTATAATGCATTCCGTCTAGCCTTAGTGGTATCAATTTATGTGTTTCCGACATGTAAGGCCTTAACAGCCACAAACTTATTCTGTGGTCTCCATGTTGATAGGATTCCATGGTTTGGCCACTAAATGAAACCACATATGTTTGAGTTCCTTCTTTTTGATGAAATCCTAGCGACATTAAAATTTCTGATGTGCCCCAGCATTGACTCTACCAAACCATAAAAGGCAATTTCATCGTATTTAAATCATGTATCTTTTTAAGAATTTTCTAAGTCTGTCAAGCTGCTAGAAAGTGTGTGTCTCTATCTAGAGCGCTGAGGTCTTTTTATCACAAAGGTGACAAAAGCAGAATGTAGAAAGTGAATGCAGACTTCCAGTCTCAACTACGAGGCTCATATCAAGCAAGATTTTTGAAAAATAAACTCTCATTCGAAGCAGTTATTTAAATCATCAATTAGTCGGAGGGTTATCATTTGACCCAAATTGGTTTCATTAGTCATTTGTTAGGTAATTTTTGATGAATACGACAAAGATTTTGCAGCAATTTCAAATATACTAGCAATGTATAAACTACTAAAATCACGTGAATCTTTACGCATTTTTTACATAGGCTTAAATGCCCAATTTCGGGTGATTGTTAGAAAATTACAAAAACTGCAAAATCTCGAAAAATATTGATTTTCGCCACTACATATATCTGTAAGATGAAATTTGTTACATTTCAGATACCCTAACACTGTATGAGTGATAATTGGCTGCGCACTGCATGTAATACATCCATTCAGATAACGTGTACGGTCGTTGGGTATATGTTGCTCGCTCTGTGTACACAAAAAGCTACAATAGTCGATCTCAAACATGTCCACTTGCTCTCAAAGAAAAAGATCCAAAACTGTACGCCACAACTATCGCGTAAAGATATTTAAATGAGCGTGAAAGTCAAGCGCAATCTAGGTTTTTCTCCATCAGCGAGGTGGTTGCCCGCAATCGCCTTTGCAATGCGGAAAGCGATTCCTCCTTTTTCCTCGTTTTGCATAGTTTTCAACAACCTGCTTGAAGACTGTATCCGCAGCGAGTATAAACGCAGGCCGGTCTCACTAACCGCGCAACTAATGGCCGGGTTTGATTCAATTTGCATACAACTTTATCGGCGGACACATACAGGAAACGATTACAGGTGATAAAAGTGCTAGTAACGGAATTTGAAGTTTTGGTGAAAGTACAAATAATCCAATACTTGTTGCTATACTCTCCCACAATATTTAGCATTCTTGATATATCGGTGGCTGATACCAGGTTGAATAAGTGAAACAATGCTGATAGTCAATCTTTAGCAGATTGGAGTGAATTACTATTCTGTAGGTGGTGTTGACAAACATTTATAATCCATCGATTTAACTTAGTCACAGAACCAGAATAAATGACAACTATTGCTGATTTATATAAACCTAAATGTGGTTGCTTTCCTTATGGATGACTAAATAATTACGCATAATTTAGGACCGCGTCTGAAAAACAAGTGACTAATTTAAGTTTTAGTTCATTGAAGGTGCCTTTCGCTGAAAAAATGTGCAGTTGTTTTGCGCCTTGAAGCTTCAATCGTTGAGACTAGGTGGTTCTTCCACTACTAGTAACTGTATCGACGAAAGAGAGTCCTGCACAACATTTAGTGCTATATGGAACTTGCTGCACTAAGAGACTGTTGAGCTATTTCATTCTATCGGGCAACGTTCATAACACCATATCAATTTTCCTTTCTCAATATATTTTCCGGATATGATTAGACATTCTATCGCGCGTATCTATACCTACACAAAATGATCGGAATTCATCGATATATAATGAGATATCAGTGTAGGCAGTTAGTGACAGAATAAGCATGAGCTTGAATAGCAGTAGTTCAAGACTCCTTTGCATTCCATTATGCTCTTGGCAAATCGCGTTCAGATACGGTACCTACTTACCGATATCTCGAAGTATACAGAGTACTAAATACTAAGGTCACTCAAACGGAGGGTGTGGGAGAACAGCTTCTGGTACACAGACGGCTCGAAAACTGAGGGTGAGGTTGGGGGACAATGCCAAAAACTGAGATCTGTATAATTCCAGGTAATATTTCAGACAGAAGCAACAGGCCTACATGTCAGCGCAAAAGATCTAATAAAGCAGGAGACAGCAAATACGTCGATTTCTATCTGCTCAGACAGTCAGGCATTAGCTCCGGCGCAAACATAGTTTAAACTAGTAGGGGATTGTGTGAATAGTAGCAAAGATCTGGGAAGCTGGAACAAGCTCAATATTACACTGGCACGAATGGCACAAAGAAAATGAGAAGGCGGATAAGCTAGCCTGAAAGGCGCTGCAGAGGTACAGAGGCTTTCTGAGGCATATTAAGTTGTCTATAAAACATTGGACTAACAAAAAGTTCCTAGAGTGGTGGAACGACCAGTTAGGGCAAAGGAAGGCGGAAGAGTTCATCAAAGAACAAAAGCCTGCATTTACAGAGGAGTTGCTTGGATTTAATAGGATAGCAACTGACGTCTAAATCGACATCCAAGATTCTTAGATCAAGGAAATAAGACCAGGTGCCGGTTCTGCAGTGAGCGTGAAGAAGCCCCAGCGCATCTGTTAGTGTCTCTGCGACGATCTAGGCTAACAGTTTCAGATATTTGGAATCAGTGGAAAGCTACACACAGGGCCCTATGTCAAAGCTATGGGATCTGATTGAAGGATCAACACTGGACATAGTGCTTCAGAAAGTGTATATGGAGGCCACAATAGATCCACACGGGCCGCAATGATGCTTAGACTTGTATGATAAACCCTTACTGTAATCTGTGAGGTTATTCAATGGTCTAACCTTCCTACGTTCGTCTCTCCTGCCGCGCGCCAGCTAAGGATACGCAGCTATTGTACGCAAGGATTCGCCGATCAAGAGCTTGCTACCGCACCGCCGCGAGTATATTTTTATAGTATCGAAGATCATGCAGATCTCCTGCTACTGTAGCCGAGACTGTCTATTACTAATAAAATGTTGCTGGTATTACTTGGTCTAATCATAAGAAGTTTTTGTGCCAGTGGTCCAACTATTCGCAGACCATAAGCTTTGCCGACATACACTTGTGTATGTGTACAACACAATAAGTTATTCCAATGATTTCTACACCTGACCATCTGGTCTTGCTAACAGACGCCTCTTACTTCACTGAATTATTTTTGCGACCGTCGCCTACAGGGCAATCCACCATGTAATTTATATGTATAATTGGCAATAATTATTTATTGGGAAATATATTGAGTTTTTATTGGGAAATATAGTGAGTAGCAAAAAAATCAGTTGAAATAGCATTGCGCGTAACAATATCATCACTTGAAGATGTATCTTGTAAGCTTAACTGCGTACATACAAATTTTTTTGCCTTAATTGAAGTGAATCAGTATTATTAATACTCATAATGGTAGTGACGACGAAAAAGCTTTATACACTGAAAAAAATAATTATAATACTTATAAAAACCAACATATGTATAAATTACTTTTATAAATAAGTAACTCGACACCCCAATGTTTTTGACCATCAGAACCCTACAGTTTGTTATGTCAATCTTCCTGTTTGAAAAGCTCTTTTCAAGTATCTAATAAAATGCAGGGTGGTTAATTAAAAAACGAATGTTCGCTGTGCTATGCAACACACTGTATAAGTAGAATAATTTGAAAATCCTCATCTATCAGTATCTGAATACCTATTTCAGTTGCCTCATAAAACTATTTTCCAGTTTTGCTGGAACACACTGTATATGTAAACACAGATCGTAGTCGACGGTCTTGTAAATATTGAGTTATAAAAATTACATTAGTGTTACGTTAATTGTAATAAAATGAATTAATAGTTCCCATTAGCACGCGATTGTTTTCCCAGATATGGCGTTTCGTTGTCCGTTTACATGATTGGCGGCTTCATAAATCAGAGAACAATTTCACACTTTATGTAATGGAATCAGCGAATCTGAACTAATGGAATCGTATATCATGGTTTAGTTCTATAATATACTCTCTCCTTTCCGTATGAAATATTGACCGTAACATTACTTATTTATTTACTGCATCTAAAGTCGGATTAAAGACATACTTTGTCTTGTGAATAGTGCTTCCTGGTTTCATTTTTTAAACTGTGTGCACTATAAATATTGTTACCCACCTACGCCACTTTTTCTTGCCGTCAACTCAATAACTAGTATACTGATCAGAAGAATACAATGATGAATCCTAATTGCATTAGTGGTAGAATAACTAACAAGGTTGAAAGAGATGTTGCATTGATGTTACTTTTTCGTGATGTACCGCCTGGGATTATACCAAATTTTGATAAAAACTAGGTTAATACGTAATACGCGGAGGATGGAAAAGCTTTGTAGGTTTTCATAGTAAAGTACGTATCAAAAAACTAAAAATCCTTGTCTCCTCTATAAGTTGGAAAATATCACTGAAATTCTGATATTGGAATTAAGATTGCTACCGAAGTTGCCATTATTAAGAAGAATAAAACACTCCACAGCTTTTAAGCATAGATGAGGCGATATCTCAACTGTGACTGCAAAACTTCGATTTTGTTTGATCTCCGAGTAATCGAATGTGATAATTTTTGCGTTTTGCGTTTGAGCGTATTCAACGAATGTTGCGCAATTTACAACATATATAACGATGACTCCTTTTTGCGACAACCTTCAATTATATTTTGATAGTTCACCATATGTT